ATTTTATGTGGGAACAATCTGATTAAAACCAGAAGAGTCTTCGGAAGAACATCAAAGAAAAACAAATATGGCTTCTGTGGTCATTATTAAAAATATTTTTACCAGCCCAATAATTTTCTTTGAAGATGAATTTTTAGAGATTGAACAGCAGCAAGTAATTTAAATACTGTGATGACATTGGTTAACAATCCCTACTATTCTAGAAAAGAACTACTTGGTTGCCATGTTTTGATCCAACTTTAGGACACCAAGGAACACGGACAACCATTTAATGTATCTGTTTGGAAGGTATAGAGAAACCATGTAGAGGTAGTTCTATATGCTGATGCTGCAACCATTTTGAATCATCTTTAAAAGTTGCCTATGCTGATTTTACTATTTCCTAGCTTTCAAACTTTGAGTATGAGTATACTGTTCTGGTTCTAACCAAGAATCTAACCAAACTGAAAGAAATCCAGCCCTCAAAGTCTGAAGTTGCTAATGCGGTGTGACACTTGGGTTTGGAAGCAGCTGCAGCCTCCTCAGCCGACTAGAAGCAAGGCCCCGCCCTTGTGGTAAATTGAACAATAAAAGTTTAATGCTTTGGTGACTTGCCAGGGATTAAATTGGTGCCAAGAGAAATAGAAGCTGGGCCCAGCAGAGGGGCAGCCCCAAGAGGGTCCTGTTCTAACTGAAGGAGAGAGGCGACTTTGCATGCGAGGTGACCTAAAATCTTTTGTCTGCGAGGTGCTTCCTAGCACCCAACTTCATTCCTCTTCAAATCAGTGCAAGTCCAGGCTAGGGAGGTGTTTACCTAGAAAGAGGATTAAAAGTGGGGGCGTGGGGAGGGAGAAATTTCCTTAGGGAGGAGAAGGCAAGTTTCTGTAGACTGGCTACTTTTGAGGAGTATGGATACCCTTCTGCCATTTCTACAACGGCCTCTTTCCTTTCCCTGTTCAGTCCAAATCCAGGATAATGTCTCAGAGATGAGGTCTGGGGAAGAAACACTGCCATCTTGAGAGGAAGACACTGAAGACAACAGAGAGAGGGGAAAAAAAAATAGAGTGACTTCAGGCTGCCATTCCTAGGCTAATACTTTCCGGTTCCAGTCGGATTCTCAAGGTCAAACTGAATATGGAAGGAGCGTCAGTCATTGTTCTTACCCATTCAGAGGCTGCACGGTGAGCCAGCCAGAAACCAACCTGCCAAGTGGCATCAGGGGGCTTGAGGAGATCTTACCTCAAAACCTGCATAGGTAGTCTTTTAAGGGACATGTTCACTTCCTCCTCTCTTGTTCTTATTCAGGAGGCAAAAACTCAGGCAAAAGCTACAGATCCAAACTTCCGGCCTCTCTCAAGTGTTTTGCATTAACTGTTCCACAGTACAAACACAATCGACTTGCTATGTTTGAATGTTCCATTTTGTTTTTTCAAAAATGTTTTAATTAAAACAAAATAATCAGCCATGCTAAGCAGATTGTTGTTTTTTAAAGGCCGCTTTAAAAACGATGATGGAACCATGGAAATACAATTCAACTGCTTAGGAAAGTGATCGAAGTTTCTTTGCTTTTTTTTTTCCCCTGGCTGTTTTTCTATGTCTCAGGGCTGGTGCCACCTGCTGCCTGGGCTCTCCTCTGAGAAACAGATCTCTCAACGGTTCGTTCCCAGCAACATCTGTGTGGTTGAACAAACCACGGGCCAGTTCCAAGGCAGGCACTTTCTTTATGTAGCGCACACTGAACCATACTGAATTTCTTTTTAAAGTCTTATTAAAGATCCAAATGTATGTGCATGAACTTCTCCCCATATTTTTATATTTTAAAAAATTTATGATAAAATATACATAACACAAAATTTACCATTTCAACCATTTCTCCCATATGTCTCTTAAAGTTAGTTAATAGTAAAAGGTAAAATGTTCATTCATTCACTAAAATCAAGTCTCCTTGTCACCTTTCCAAACCAGCGAACACTGGAAAAAATCAATACATATGGACCTAGAGCAGGACCTGGCAAAGTACAGCCTGCAGGCTAAATCTGACTCGCTGCCTGTTTTTAACCAGCCCATGAGCTAAGAACGGTTTCTAAAACTTTAAATGGTTCAAAATGATCAAAAGAATATTTGTGACGTATAAAAATTACATGGGGCCGGCCCTGTGGCTTAGCGGTTAAGTGCGCGCGCTCCGCTACTGGCGGCCCAGGCTTCGGATCCCAGGTGCGCACTGACGCACCGCTTCTCCGGCCATGCTGAGGCCACGTCCCACATACAGCAACTAGAAGGATGTGCAACTATGACATACAACTATCTACTGGGGCTTTGGGGAACAAAAGGAGGAGGATTGGCAATAGATGTTAGCTCAGAGCCGGTCTTCCTCAGCAAAAAGAGGAGGATTAGCACGGATGTTAGCTCAGGGCTGATCTTCCTCACACACACACAAAAAAAATTACATGAAATTCAAATTTCAGTGTCCATAAAGTTTTATTGGAACACAGCCACGCCCATTTATTAACATTTTGTCTATGGCTTCTTTTCCCCTACAAAGTCAAAGAGTTGAGTAATTGCAACAGAGACAGTACATGGCCCACAAAGCCCAAATTATTTACTGTCTGGCCCTTTACAAAAAATGTTTGCCAATACCTGATCTAGAGCCTCAGATGGCATTACAGGCTCAAAGATTCTAAACTAAAGATAGTATTTTGTTCATCATCAAAAATCCCTAATCTGTATATTGTGAAGCCATATAAAGCAATATATTTTATCTTCGTCATTTATTGCTGTTGACCCAACTATGCTAAATCATAAGTGACTGTATTGATAATATCTATATTAAGGGTACCAACTTGCTATTTATTAGTAGTGAGCCTAAATGGAACTTCTTTTTGCTTTAAGATTTACAAAAGGTCTCATTGCCTACCTCAAACATTTAAATGGCTTTGTCTAGTGGCCAAAACAAATTTTCAGAAAAAGATCAGAGTCATTTGATACCAGGTCAGTGTTGACAGTTTTGTGTTTCTTAAAATACTCAAAGCATAAAAGTAACTGGTATGCATGTAGGTTCACTTCACTCCTCTCAGCCCCTATGTTGCATACAGGTAATTCTACTAACATTAATGAAGTCCTCAAGAGGGACAGGGCTCTGTACAGGATGAAGCTCTCACTGTTAACTGAACTCATAGGTTTTATGGCAAGACCTACTATTGGCTAATGGGATGAATTCTAGATGAGGAGTTAGAGGAGAATGAACATCAACTATAAAAGGCTGTTCACAGCAAATGTAACCTGAGTTGAGAAGCTCTGTTGATGCATATCTGAGAGCCCCCAAATGTAGTGAAACACCCAAGCAGGTAGTTTGCCTTAGGCGGAAAACTCAAATAGCCCAAGTCCATCCAGCCTTCTGTGCTCTTCCTACCTCTCCGCTCTCCACTGCAGGTCAGTAAATTCCAGATGGGAGCCCACTTCAGACAGCCCATGAGCCCCATGACCCTGGCTGCCTTCCTCCTTGAAAAGGGAGTCTAGATTCCACCATTAACTTCTATCTTCTTCCTTATCAGTTGCGAAGGAAGGAAGAGAATCTCAAAGAAAGAATGAAGAGGAGAAAGGAGATCATTTGGGGTTGGCTACACATTGTAATTAGAAGTAGCATTGATGGGGAATGAGCTAACTGTTTTTATAAAGTCAGCATTCAAAAATGCAAACCACCAGTAATTTAAATATTACAAAATTGTGCAGAATATAAGTACTGAAATAATTTTTTCCATCCACAAAATTTTAGAGAAAATTACAGTATCAAAAATATAAAATGGCAAGTTTGGCATATCCTCAGTGTAAAACGTGTTTTTTATTGGAAAGTATTTTAAAAACTAGTGGGTAGGCTCTAGACAGGATGTGATGCTGAAGACTATGTGGTATCTCCCTAAAACTGCTTCTGGAACTAAAGAGGAAAAGTCACAAAAGCATTGATGTACCAGGACGGTAGGAAAAGAGCTCTTGAGTCTCAGTGAATTGGGAACTTGGACCACTTATCATAAATCATTTCACGATGATTATTTATTTGTCCCTAGCTCAAAATCCCAAATAAAAGCACACCAAGGTCTGAGGTTTAAACTACCTAAGAGCTGCTGCATTTGACCCTTTCCAGCAAAGCAAAGGTGCCTGAGGGAGAGGATGCCACCTTCTAACAAGCGTAGCACAGAGTTGGCTCACTTAACACGTTTCAGAGCTGCTCCTCTGCCGTTTCCAGAAGGGGAAGCGGTCTATTTCCACCCATACCTCTCTAGAGCTCCGTAGAGGACATTAAATCCTGACCACACAAATGGCAAAGTGGAACTGAGGGGTTACTAGGTTACAGTTATGTTGACATATACTGGCTCTCAGAAAGTCCCTCCTTCATTCCTCACATAACCACAAACAGTAGAAGTGATCAAACTTCTGTAGAAGTTTTCGTAGAAACCCCCTAGAAGGCTGCCGATCACTCAGAAACCATGTCCTGAGCCTAAGGCTTACAGTACTTGGAGAGCCCCCCTCTACCCATCTAAAGCCAAGCTTTGCCTTTTTTACAAGGATTAATCAGACTGGAAGCTCACAGCGTTTGGAGGGCAAATGAGGTGTCTAGCACGTGGTGAACTGTGAAGCACTATAAAAAGTATTAAAATATGTTTAGGGGCCAGCCCAGTGGCGCAAGTGGTTAAGTGCAAGAGCTCCGCTGCAGCGGCCCCGGGTTCCCGGGTTCGGATCCCGGGCGCACCAACGCACCGCTTGTCAAGCCATGCTGCAGCGGCGTCCCATATAAAGTGGAGGAAGATGGGCATGGATGTTAGCCCAGGGCCAGTCTTCCTCAGCGAGAAAAACAAGCAAAAAAAAGAGGAGGATTGGCAGTTAGCTCAGGGCTGATCTTCCTCACAATAAATAAATAAATAAATATGTTTATTGACTGCCTTCTATACCCGGAGGTGGTACCTGCAGTATATCGTTTAATCTTCACAACACCCTGAAAGGGAGTTATCATTATTCTTCCTTTACAGATGAGGAAACTGAAGCTCAGGGAGCTGAAGGCACAACCCAAGGTCACACAGTAAGTGACAACACCAAGTCCTATCTTTTTCACTAATCCAAGTTGGTAAGTAAACAAAGCAACTCTGGGTTTTCTTTCAGCAGCAAAATCCTGTCTGTCTAACATCACAGGCTGTGACTTTAGGTGGAGAGACCAGAGGCCGGTTTTCCGACTCCGGGCAAATCAGTAATGAACTCTTGCCGTCTCTTTCACTAATGCCCGATTCCCAACACCCAAACAACCTGCTGAGGAACGTAACTGGGCCAGACAACGCCCTCCTGCCTGCTCTTCAACTTGGAAAGAGTTCTGCGGCAAGGAAGGGTGTGTGGGGAAGCTAAGCAAAGTCCCAGCTTCCATCCTGGTCCAAGGCCCCACCTCGGGAGGACCTGGCCTTGGCTTTGGCCTTGGCCTGGGGAGCAGGTGACCCCGTTTAAAGTGTGGGGCTATCCTGGAAGCGGGGCTCTGCACTGCACCTTCAGGATAAGCACCCTAAGCTCTGCAGGGGAGAAGTCTCCCGTCGCTCCTTCCTTTCTTCCTCTCTCCAAGCTGGGGCGGCACCTGAGTCACAGGGAAGTTCAAAGCGGCCCCGGGGGGTCGGGAGGGGGCGTCCCGGGACCAGACCTGCCTCTTGCAGGGCGCGAAAGTCAACTCGACTCCTCGAGGGGCAGAAATCAGTGTGGGGCCAGCGGGCGCAGTGGGGACGGGGCAGAGGGGCCGGGCGCCCGCTCCCGCAGGGGGGGCGCGGGGGGCCGCCGGTGTCGGTGGGAGGGGAGGCAGGGCTGGGGGGCGCGGGGGCGTCGTTGTGAGGCTCGCGGAGGGGATCCTGGCCTGGGGGTGTCGCCGAGGGGCTTGGGGCGGGCGGGGGAGCGGCCCGGCCCGAGGTGCGTCGCGGATTTAGGGAGGAGATCCCAGGAGGCACTAGGACAGAGGGGGCGTCCCGGCCCGGGGGACTTGAGCAGGAGGTCCCCGGTCCTGAGACAGGGGACGTCCCAGCCTGGGGGCGTCGCTGAGGAGCTCGGCGGGGGGCTCCGGGGAGGGACTGAAGCGGAGGGCGCGTCCCGGCCTGAGGGCCGTCGCTGAGGGGCTTGGAGAAGCGGTCCCGGAAGGTAGGGGCGAGGGGGTTGGGCCCCCCGGGAGGGCTCCGCGCGGGGCGGGCGCCG